AAATATAATGTATAGTTTCTTAGTGTCAGCACAGTGATATGTGAAAGAAAAAAACATATTAGCTATTGCAGAAGATGGAAGTTTAGGGAGGGAAAAAGAAAAGGAAAAAAATGTTAGGATCAAAGTAGAAGTTCATGTGCATGTGTATGTAATCACTATATGTTTATCCATTTTTTTTTTACCAGTAAAGAGTGAGTTAAAGGCTAATTGGAAACAGTCAACACAAGCTAAACAACAACAGGCCTGAGAAAAGGAATTTGGCTATGAATGCTATTCAGTACATCAGCCAGACATCATGTTTTCTGCATTTAGTTGTTTGCTGTTGGTCAATTCTCTTAAATGGTATTTTGTTGGAATCCATTTGCTTTTAACTATGCAAAAGACATGCCAAAGTCACGTTGTCAATCAAATTGAAATGGCGAGGAAATAAAATTTGCCCTGTTTCTCACCGGCAAATGTAAAAATGTGGAAGAGTGCCGAGGAATTGAGCAGAGATGTTATAAAGATTAAAATCTATGCTCTTAACAATAAAATGATAGAATCCTAATATACTTACGTATATAAACAATAATAATGGGATGATAAAGGGAAACATGTTCATGGTGGCTCTTTTTTTTTCTTTCTTATACGATTGACAATTTAACATTGAAACTGTAAATTACCTAAAATGTGTGTGTTTTTTTTTTTTTGCTTACAAAAACATTTTACTGTAAAACTTTATGTATTGTCTTGTATAAATATACAGCCCGTTCTCATCCCAAGGCGTCATCAAACTGACAGCATGACCATGCATCAACATCTGACGCTTTAGACACCCTTTAGCGTCAGTTAGATGACGCGGGTAGGTTTAGGTTTAGGGTTAGACCGCTAGGATAGCGTCATTTAACTGACACTAAAGGGTGCCTAAACCATCAGATGTTGAAGCATGGTCAAAAGTGTCAGTTAGATGACGCCATAGGATGAGAATGCGTTGAAATTTCTAGTCACAAATTTGTGAATATAATGTTTCACTGCACACTATAAAACAGTTTTTGTAAGCATAAGAAAAAAAAAGTTTATTATTGTTATTTTATGTTCAAATTAACTGGTTTATTCAAGTCAATCTGGTTACTTTAAGTTATTTAGCTTTTTTTCTGTGATTGTGCGGCCACTTCCGTTTTATTAGCTACAATACTAATAAATAACTATAGTAAATAACCGGACGAATAATTTACTAATAATAATCCATGCTACAAACCTGTGTTTTATGATTACGATAATAAATGACAATTATATGATAACAAATAACAGTTTGCAATATCAAGCAATGTAACGGATAGGTTTGTGCACCTAAAATAACTGAAAGCCTCGACACAATCAAGTTATAATTGCCGTCCCTGCTCTTACAAGATGAACACTTTAGCAAACTTCATTATAAGGTGTCATATCAGGTCATATTATTATCAGGTGTCATATCATTATCAGGTGTCAAATCGGGTCGAAATAGATCCTTAAAGTAACAACTGCATAGTTTCACATTTTTTACTGTCAATTATTAGGCGAGTAATACTTTCTAAACTAAAATATGTAGTTAGTGGTTCACTGTGACAAACGTACAAGCATTGTCTTGTTAAATACAATGTTCATATTTATAAGGCATAAACTCATAAAGCATTATTTTACAGTAAATTGAGTTTAAATAATAACGTACAGTTAACAAGTGCCTACTGTAATGTTGTCAGCTTTGCTTTGTTTACCTCACACAGACTCAGACATGTTCTGCAGTGTATGCGTGGTGGTACAGGTGTGTCTCTAAACAATACACAATGTTTTGGAGTCAAACACTCATTTGAATTTATGATGAATTATTAGCACTAAATGCTAAACACATGTGATGAGCTCTTTAGATGTGATTACTGTTGTTACCCTGCCATCTGCTGGTCCCTTGCCTCGCTATCTCTCCCTCAGTCTGTCTCTCTCAGTCATCTCTCTCTCTCTCCTCTTATGTGTCATCTCTGCAGAAAGCACAGGAAGAGAAAAGAGAGTGATTGTTATCGAAAAATAAGCATGGTGTTTGAAAGGGAATTTAATTGAGGCATTCGTTATATTTGAAAAGGTGAATTCCTCTGGGGCGACTGCAGGAAACTCGACCCATTTCATAGCCTCAGACATTAATAAAGAATGGCATCTTTTGACTTTAGCTTTCAGACCACAACCTTAAACGGGCTAAATATAGGGGGAGACAGTAATTCCCTCCACCTTGGGGGATGAGACGCAGGACAGGAGTACAGAACGGCGGAGGAATCCAATTAGCAAAGCGGGGAGACCCAGACGCAGTCGCACAAACATCCAAACAAACACACAAACTCCAGTGTCCGTGCAGACATACACACTCTCAGACCTAAAGGGAACGTGTGGGTCTTTCTTCTTAATATCTGTGCCATTAATAATCCACAGACCTCTGTTGGTGCGTCTAATAGGAGGCATCCGGTCTGAGCTCTGGTAACTAATAAAAAATAGGAAGTGAACAATGTTTTCGTCTGGTCGCATGAGAACACCCACTGGGGCCAGTTTGTAGAAAGGGTCGCATGCTCTTAAATATTTTTTCCCTGTCTTCTTATTAAAGGATTAAGAGCTTATATTTAGTCATTGAGAGAAGAACGTTGTGTGTTTTTAAGAACGTTGATGAGTGATCTTCTGTGTTAAATGAATGTTCCAAATGTAGGATTATGCATTTTCCTAAAGCTTCTGTAAATTTTAGTTTTTGAAGTAACGTCCCGCTTAATGTAACGTTAAATCTGGAAAGATTGTCATTTCTGGCACATGCAGTTTAAATGCAAGGGAAAAAAAAGAGAGTTAAAGTATCACTATGCCCTGTATTACAATATTCATTAGTTATGTCAAATACATCAAATAAATGCAAAAGGTATTTATTGACAATATAGGTTCATTTTCTTAATCATATTTAAGTTATTAGGGTGAAAGGTGAATGTTGGCATATATTGCAACGCAGAAGTATGCTATTTTTGTGCATGTGCGAGATTTATTGCAATATATTGTTCTTCTGCTGTATATATTGCGAAATTATTTTTTTTCCAGATGACTTCCAGATGAATAGCTCTATTTGTAAATAATCGATCATTCTAAAAATGAATCATTCACACTGATTGGAGTGATTTTCTGGGGGATGGATCTGTAAACTTGTTATAAGCATAGATAAATACAATAGAACAAAGTTACAAATTAAATAAACAGTGCTTTTCAGGTAATGCTGGGTACACACTACAAAATATGTGGGGTGATTTTGGACCGATTTCTCCCCTTTCGAAAATCCTAGGTATACCTAGGATTGTCACCATTATGGAGATCATTGTGTGTTTTAGTTGGGCTCTTGACCCTTAAATCATTAACTTTAGATGTTGTTTGGCTGTTATACATGAATTATAACAGCCAGATGAACAAATAGAAAAGGCGATCTGATGGTGTTGGTTATATTATAACATCATCATTATTTTACAATCATTTGACCTGAATCACTGAACTCATATAGAGCCCAGTTTAGGTTTACTTAATTATAACAGCACTGTCCTTGTATTATATTTTTATGATTTCACAAGGTAATCAATAGGATTTTTTAAACGTATCTCAAATACAAAAAAAAATGTTTTTGTTTTGATTTCGTATTTAGACACAGAGATCTAGAATCAGCCTGTGAAACTCAACAATGGTGACAATAATTAATGAATGTTGAAGTGTATTCCGGGTGCCACCAATCAAAATGTAAAAATGAATAAGACTGAATATGTTAAATCTAATCAATAAAATTGAGGCAACAAATTGCAATCAATATCATTAATTAAATTTAACAAATTAGAATTGAGTTATAATTAACCAAATGAATCACTTAAAAGTTAACCATTTAAAATGAGTAAAATTTACACATTTTTTAAACAAAAATATCAGAATAACAGAGTGACGTCAAATATGAATTAAGAACTCTTATTGTAATGCCAACATTGAAGACACCTGATGTTAACAAGCAGAATCACTGAAGGAAAAAAACGTAATTGTAAGTCGCCATTATGGAGATCAGTGTGTGTTTTAGTTGGGCTCTTGACCCTTAAATCATTAACTTTAGATGTTGTTTGGCTGTTATACGTGAATTATAACAGCCAGATGAACAAATAGAAAAGACAATCTGATGGTGTTGGTTATGTTATAACATCATCATTATTTTACAATCATTTGACCTGAATCACTGAACTCATATAGAGCCCAGTTTAGGTTTACTTAATTATAACATTACTGTCCTTGTACAGTATAATATTTGTATGATTTCACAAGGTAATCCATAGCATTTTTTAAACATGTCTTAAATGCAAAAAAAAGTTTTTGTTTTGATTTAGTTTTTAGACACAGAGATCTAGAATCAGCCTACAAATCTTAACAATGGTGACAATAATTAACGCATGCAGTGCATTCCGGGTGCTGCCAATCAAAACTCATTCATGGCTCCCATCATGCATTGCTGCATGAATAAATAATGAGCTTATGATCAGAGGTGATCTGTTTGTCTGTTTGTATCCTTTTTATTTCAAATCCAGTTGTTACTGGATTTTTTCAGAATTGCAATTCTCTTAGGTACACAGTTATACAATCTTTCACTGATGCATTCATGTTTGAACATACTAAATTAAACAACATTCAATTATTCAATGCATTACTTCTATATTAATTTATATATTAAGTTGCGCAAGCAATTGGCAAAACATTTAAACATATACTTATATTAAAGTCAGGTTGTTGTTAAAGTAAAACTTCTAATTGACAAAAACAGCCCACTCTCATGAACACACACACACACCCTTTTATTCCCGTGGCAGAAGCAAAATTTCTCTGTCATCTCTGATTGGCTGAAGAGACATTACAGAGAGAAGTATTAACGGAAGCAATCATCGCTACATCGGCATGTTATGCCGCATTCCCTACCGGATCCAGCATGCTTAGTTCACCGCACATGGAAACTATCTGACAGCGTAAAGTTGCTTGTCACGGCAGAGGGTTATGTGCTGTGACACGCTGTGGCAGTTTGATGAGTAGGTGTCCTTTGGGTGTAACTCAGGGTAAGATCCGTGTGAAAGATAACAAACACTCACATTTTTTTCCCCGTGTAATAGAATCTCCTGTGAGTGATTACACTGTCATTGTGACCAAGATTAAAGTAAAGGTAAGTGAAAGAGTTATATTATGAACATCACAATCACCTTAACAGTATATCATCAGAGGAAAGGACAGTGACTTGTGTCCTTTTAACATACAGCATCTAATACAGTTTAAGGCATACGGTCAGTATTCAGACTGCATGTCTCTCAGAGATCAGAGGTCAGGCTGATGAGAGGAAACAAGCTAAAGTTTATTTAGAGCTAATGAAACATGAACAAGCTTTTGTTATTTCGCTGCAGGACATGCAAGTGAAAGAGAAGAAAAGCAAACTGACCTGCAGACCAGGCAGGCTAATTCCTATATTGCATTTTTTTAACACTTATATGGCATTACACAGTAATAATAGTATAATTATAAGATAATTCATAATGTCTTATAATTCAAAATAAAATCAAGTGTATTATTACCATAGTTAAAATAAACAATCATACTTAAGTTATTTCAAAAAAATAAAGTTATTTCTGTACTTTCATCAAAATGTAATAACTTCCTCCACCTCTATTTTCGGCTGATGTCATCAATACCTGTTATTTTTTAAACTCCTTCTCTCTAATAACCTGACTCAAGATCTAATCAATTCCTGACTGAGAAAATATACAGTATGACATAATGCTGTTGACATAATGTGACATCCTCAGAATACTCACAAACATTCTCTACTCATCTAAAATAGGATTTTGCTCTTTCTTCTTCTTCTTCTTCTTCTTCTTCTTCTTCTTCTTCTTCTTCTTCTTCTTCTTCTTCTTCTTCTTCTTCTTCTTCTTCTCATTATTATTATTATGCATGCAGCTTTAATGGCTAATGCATGCAAAAAAAGTACAATTTGGAATTGTTCAAACTTAAAAATACAAAGAAACCAGAAAGGGAAAAAAAGTTTTAAAGATCTACGCAAACATGACCATATCAATCTATCTTATCATCACTTTATCGTTTGGCGGTTCATTTTAGAGTTGATTTTAAATTATTTTAATTGTTTATAAATGTTTAAATAATCTGGTGCCTTCCTTCCTCTCTAATTTATTAGTCCTATGCAATCCCTTAAGAGCTCTCCAATCTGGGACAAAAAGTAATAAAATAAAATAAATAAAGTTGTTCCTAGACACAAGTTACAGAAAATAGGGACTTGCATTTGCATTTCCATTTGTTAAGAATTTGCTAAAAACCTATTTTCTGTAAATGATTATGGTGATGTATTTATGACAACATGCCTTTCATTTATGATGTGTGTCTGCTATGTTTCCCCCCCTTTTTTATTATATATATATATATATATATACATACGTTCTATGATGTAGTGTAAAGCACTTTGGTCCGCTGTCGTTGTAGTGCTGTATAATAAACGTTGACATGAATTTTGACATGCTTCAGGTGTATTGTGGAGTGTAGTCAGTAGGAGTAATATTCACACTTCCCGTAGCTCAGCCCATTTCTCTGTAACCCACACAACTGTAGGAGTCTTTTAGCACTAATGCAGCGAGCATAAATATATTACAGTCTCATCATCTCTCCATTTATACAGGTGTCACCGTCTGACTTGATTTCCAGAGAGCGCAAGTTTTACTTTGCCAGACGATTGAAGTCCCAACATTATTATGAGAGCAAAATATATTCATGATAGCAGAAGTCCAACTGGCCCCTGGGCTTTGTAATATAATACAGGCCCTCTTTATCAAATTTAACAGATTATTGGAAACAGGTTGTACACATGATTTGACCATGACGGGAGGAGGCAGGGCCTGCGGACTTTCTCTCTCTTTCTTCTCATTTCCATCCACTCATATCTCTCTCTATCTAATTCTCTCCATGGCTGTTCTTTGGATATGATGTTGTCTGATTTTTGGAGGATGTCTTAATAAACAAATGTATGAATCGTGCCTTGGGCTGATTGTTTTAACTTGCTCCTATCACAGATTACACGTATCACAGACCCATACAGACAAAGTGTTATGGACATTTAAATGGTTAGTTCACACCAAAATGTAAACTCTTTTATTATTTACTCACCCTCGTGTCATTCCAAACCCTTTTAACTTACTTTCTTCCGTGAAACATAAAAGAAGTACTCACAATGTTCAATTCAATGAAAGACTGCCTCACCCAAGGGCTGTCGGCTCCAAAAATAGATAAACAAAGACCATAGAAGTATCAGAGAAGTAATAATATGCTATAATTCAAATCAAAACCGTTTTTTGTGTGTGTGTGTGTGTGTGTGTAACAAAGGTAAAGTTGTTATGAATTTAAAATCTCCCGTCGTTATGCTCAATGGGGGATAAAATGGTAACCTAAAAATGGTATCGTCTGATTTAATTGGTTTTATTCAAGTCAAAAATATTTAACACTGAACCAACTTGGCCTGAGACGCTGACATAGGCTCCAGCATCAACGACCCTTCAGTGAATAAATCGTTTTGGAGAATGGAAGGATGTTTTAAGATATTTTAATCAAATAAAATACCAAGAATGCCAAAAAATGGCAAAAGAACTAGCTAGGTTAGCATATTACCTTAAAAGTCCATATATATATATATATATATATATATATATATATATATATGTGTGTGTGTGTGTGTGTGTGTATGTGTATGTGTATATGTATATGTATATGTATACTGTATGTCTCCGATAAAGGGATGCAGTGAATCCTGTTTGGTCATCATTTACTAACATTCTATTTGTTCCAAACCAATTTCTTTCTTTCACTCTACACAAAAGCAGATATTTTAAAGGATGTTGGTAACCCAACAGTTGATGTGCCCCATAGATTTATATATATATATATATATATATATATATATATATATATATATATATATATAGACCATTTCACAAGATGTAAACAACACTGGTCCAGAAGCACTTCCTGTTTCAGTTTGTAACTGTTTTCTTTATTTCACATGTGAAGAAAACATCTTAAAGATGTTTGTTTAACTTTTTGATTCAGTTTTAAACGTTCTGTTGGTTGTATTTTATCCCAGCTTTTATGTAGTGTTAAAAAACTGAAACAGGAAGTGTTTCTAGACCAGTGTTGTTTACATCTCGTGAAATGGTCTATATATATATATATATATATATATATATACTATGGAAGCCAATTGGACCTGTTAACTCTTTGGCTAACATATTTTCAGCCCGTTCTCATCCCAAGGCGTCATATAACTGACGCTTTTGACCATTCGTCAACATCTGCACATGGCAACCTTTAGCGTCGATATGAGACACGCCTCCTAGTGGTCTAACCCTACAACAGACCTAAACCTACCCGCGTCATCTAACTGGCGCTAAAGGTTGCCACGTGCGTCGGATTTAGACGCACGGTCAAAAGTGTCAGTTAGATGATGCCTAGGATAAGAATGTGTTGATATTTTTCAAAATACTGTCTTTTATACCAACACATTCTCATCCTTTGGCATCATATAGGTGACGCCATATGACATTTTGTCGAAATACAACGCACATGGCACCCTTTAGCGTCAATATAACACGCACTGTTATGGGTACTGCAGGTTTATGTCTGGGGTAGGGTCTGCGTGTAGTATTGACGCTAAAGGGTGCCATGTGCATAGTATTTCGACGAAATGTCATATGGCGTCACCTGTATGACGCCAAAGGATGAGAACGGGCTCTTTATACTGCGTTCAGCAAAAGAAAGGAATTAATTCGGGTTTGGAACAACTTGAGGTTGAGTAACAATGACAGAATTTACATTTTTAAGTGAAATATCCCTTTAAGTGTTGCCATTTTTTTTTTTTTTTTGTCATGAAATATGCTTTTTTTTTTCTTGGAACATGCATTTTAATTTTAATTATCACTAATTATTAATGATTTATATGAAGAGTTCAGATGCAAAAGCCTCTAAGTGCCATTTGAAATTTTCTTCTAAAATGATCATTTTTATCAAGCTTGTATATTTCAGTAATTTCACTTAAATGGCAATGAAGATTACCTATTATTTGTCATTTAAGTGAAATTACTAAACTTAAATATACAAGCTTGATAAAAATGGTCATTTTAGAAGAAAATTTCAAATGGCATTTAGAGGCTTTTGCATCTGAACTCTTCATATATTTTTAACTACCTCTGACATTTGTTATTGACCTATATCCAAACTTGTCACGATTGATCACAAAACCAATGCTGTGTTTACGATCATTGGTATCAAACCTGGCACACCATATTTAAATATGCAAACATGAAAATTTGAAAGTGCAAATGAATTGGGGAAAAAAAAAATCTCACACCATTGGATTTTGTGATGAGATAGTTACTTGGTAATTCAGGCTGTTTCCTGTTTATAAAACCCTTCAATGATTTATAAAAGGATTATCTTGAAGTATATCAATGTATCTTTCTTGCTCTTTTCCAGATGGAGTTTCCCAGAACCCTGAAGCTGAGATGACACTACCAGTTGCCCAGCCTCAGGGCAGATCAGGGGCAGAGGGATAAACTGTCACCCTGGAGGGGTTGAGGAGCTGTCTCAGGTGTCAGGTTATTATACTGCTATGAGAGGATCCTGAGAGCTCTTCTGCAGTGTGCTGTGAATGTTCAGACCACTGCGGTCTTGCTCCTTCATGTGGGATTATAAATGTAATGGTGTGAATTCTTACAGGATGAAAGAGATCTTGAGCAAATGTGCACTTTTGTGTCGGTGAGAGGGTGTCATTCTCTGGAAAATAGCAGCATGTGTGCCTGATTTTTTTTTTTTTTCAGGAAAATGTTAATATTTGAATTACCTGTGGTTTACTTTAAAGGTACAATATGCAGACTTTTTGCAGTAAACTATCCAAAAACCAGGACAATGTTATATATTTTGTTTAGTTGATTACTTACAATGTCCCAAAAGTTCTCAACTATTTGTAAATCGTGAGAAATTGCGATTTTAACCAAGGAAACGGGGCGTGTGAGCAGGGGTGAGGAGTCGCCAGTCAATGACGTCATATCCGCGTTACCCTCAGTTTCCGCCAGGTTTGACCTCGTACTGCAACAGTAACCATGGTGACAGACGTGGACAACCGGGTTATGCCTAGCAGGACGCTCACGCTGTTGTTGTTTTGTTCAAACATTATGGACCACGGTAAGAGGACTAAAACGAAGATCAACATCTTTTGAGATGCCAAGAGCTCCACGTCCGTGACTAACTTCGACTTAGAGACGCGAGTGTTGCAGGTTACTTTATAATCAGGTGAGCAAATGTTGAGCTTGGTGAGAAGTTAGAGAAGTTAGAATATGATCTGTATGGTATTATCTAATGTTAATGTAGCTTAGTCTCATACAGCCAACAAACAACCTAACTAATAACATTCAACACACTCAAAACCCGTTTAGTGTGATAGTGTAATTGTTAGAGCAAGTGAAACAGCGCTGCGTTACCTCTCAAGTTTAATTCATCTAATAAACTGACTTGTGTGAGTATTAATCCAGCACTTGCGTGTAGTTCGGTAGAATGAAATGTCCTTATTCCTTTAAATCCGCGGGACTAGCGTTGCATGTGGTGCTGGCATACGTCTAGCAATCGCGCCCTGGTTCACACCACAGTCCTGTTAAAACAGCCCATTCTCACTCCCAAGGCGTCACCTAACTGACGCCTTGGGAAGCATTTGGACATGCTTCAATATCTGACGCTTTAGGCGCCCTTTAGCGTCAGTTAGATGACGCCCTAGGATCGCGTGTACCCTACCCCCACCCCACACCTAAACCTAACCGCGTCCTTTAGCAGACGCTTTCCTTTAGCGTCAGTTAGATGACGCCGTAGGATCGCGTCATGTAAGTGACGCTAAAGGGCGCCTAAAACGTCAAATATTGAAGCATGGTCAAAGGTGACGCCTTGGGGTGAGAATGCGTTGGTTAAAAACATCACTGTATTCACTCATTCATAAAGATCCATAATTCCGCTTAATGCACAATATACATCATCAATATACGCCTTTGTTATTCTAAGTGGTTAGCGACCCCTGGTGGTGAAAAAATCGTGCATATTGTACCTTTAACCTTAAAACACATCTATCTATCTATCTATCTATCTATCTATCTATCTATCTATCTATCTATCATCTGCAAGGCATACTGTACATTTCCTTAAACTTTCCATCTCTTTTTTTTTTACAAAACATTCAAATTACTGTAGACTTGTATAACTTTGTATATTAACTGTACCTAAATTACCTTCTGTAACAAGTTTTTCAAGTTTCTCAAGCCACCATTCAAAGTTTGTTTTGTTGAACTTTTGTACTTGCATGTGCGTGTAGGTTTGGTGACATTAGCTGTGGAGGAATTACCACTTCAGTTTAAAGGATCTTGACAGACCACATTTTTGTATTTTTTGAGGTGGTGCTGAGCAGATACATCTAAATACTGTAACATCATGTTCACACAAGATTTACAAATCAACACTCACCTATTGTAATGCCAGAGGCTGGATTGGCTAGTTTGAGACTCTGGGACAGAATAAAATAAATAAATAAAGCCTGAGAGATAAATGAGAATTGTTTCACTTGATGTTAATTTTGAGACTAGAGAGAAAGATCTATGCTGAACTCCCATTATATTGAGAAAACATTGAGACAGAGAGAGAGAGAGAGAGAGAGAGAGAGAGAGAGAGAGAGAGAGCTACGTATATGTGTCTGGCGGCATGATAAAAAGTGAGTGGAAGGAAATAAAAATGCTAGAAGGCATCTCGTTTATCATGCAGGTTTAACATGCACATGTGAAAATGAACAACTCAGTTATCAGCTAGTCTGCCTGAGCTTAGTTTGGTGTACTGCCATTTATTGTGTGTAAATGGTACACTGTCAGGAACCGCAAGTCACTGATTTATCGGCCGTTTATTAACATTCACAAACCACCCCAAGCGCTCACACCCTGATCTTTGGCTGAATTTGAAAAACTGGAGTGCAAATGTTAAATTTAAAGATGTATAAATTATGTGCTAATCACAAAAGAGACAATCTGGATTTTTAGTAGAAACAATCCTTGTTTAGAAACGATCCTTGTTCTGTCATGACAACTCTCGGGTGTTTGGTATGGTAACACTACAGAGATTGGCATGGTAATGGATATGGCAATGTTAATGTATTTGGTCTTGGCCAAAGTACAGAGACTTGCTACTGTCAATACATTCACACATTGCTGTGAGCATGTAGGACATGTTTCTGCTGTACATGTACATACATGATTTAACCTCCCCAAATAAAGCAGGAGACAAGAGAAAAGGGCAGGTCCCAGTTCAACACAAACTTCTACACATTTGTAAAGCAACTTTTCACCCTACACAGTTGCATATGTGGCATTTAGAAATAGATGGAGAAATATTTACCCACTACACCACCTCTGAGCCTTTTTCCGGGGAGACTGAAAAAATCATAACAGTTTGATATTCAAACAATGGTGTAGACGAAGCAGACACGCAAAGGCCTATCCAGCTAACTATTTGAATAAGACCCAAAGCTGACCGCAACATTCTTTGCACGCTGGCCCAAATCTTAAATGTGATACACCACACAAAACATAGATTTAACCAGCGAGGCCACTAATGATGATACAGTTATAGCTCATATACTCAAAACATAGGGGAATGTGGGGCACAACCTAACGCACGAATTTGCGGAAAGTTTTGATAATATTTCACGTTTCCAAATCTAACTTTATATTGCCTTGATCACTGTCTTGTTGGCTCAAACATAGCACTGTTTTGAAACATGTCAGCAATTCCTAGCAACTGTTATCTAGGCTTTAAATATGTAATACACAGCGGGGTTAGTTGTAACACAGTGTTACAACTAATCCGCCAAGTTACAATGATAATCAAATGAAAACGGAGCCACACAACTTTTGAGGTTTGAGTGTTTATTTATACATTTAACTTTGTTGGACTTTCACAAACAATGTTGGAATTTAAAATGTTTAAAATGTAGTGTACTATGAATGATAACTTGTTTATTTATTAAAAATATGGCATGTTTTTAATGCAATAAACTCTTTAAATTTTTATTTTAAGCTCATTTGTATTTTTATTACTGTTATTATTATTAATAATAATAATTGTACATGCAGCTGCCACACACAAATCTAATTTAATAGCAATTACAATATTTTATAATTTTATTTATCATAATTTATTGCAAAACTGTGCAGCTCTTTTCTATGTCTCTATCCATGATATTAATCCATAACAGAAGAATGATTGGATGAGGGATGGATGGATGAATATCTGTCTATACAGATGCACAAACAATATCAAATTATACAAATAAAATAGTACTGAATTATGTGTGTTACACACAAGTGTTACAACTAGCCCTAAGTTGTAAGTTGTAACATTTGCACTTCTGTCACTTTCAGTGCAACTGTACGAAAATGGTAGGTCCTAGAAAAAAACTTTAAGTGTTTATTTGTAGCAGAGATGTGTATGTTGCTTGTGTAAAAAAATATATATATATATTCATCTAACCTAATTATTTTTTAATTAATTGAGCCAAAACCAAAATGCGTTGTGCCCCGCTCTCCCCTACCTGTTGCAGAACGCAGAAACTGGTGCGTGTTATACGCATTTACATGGGAACGGTCATAGCCAAAGGCATCCCACAAAGCTCCTCAGTCCACCCTTTAACAAGATAAACTCACGAAACCCTGTATGAAGAACAAACAAGACAAACCACAATGTGATCACGGCCCACTGCTCCTAGCTCGTAGACATGCATACGGATTAACACAAGTGACTTAGGATATTTGGGCCTTGGCTACCTTGCCGACAGGCTTAACTCTAGAATGCATGCTATGTGTTGTCATGAACAATAAATATAATTGTTCCCCCCCAATTAGATAAGTCCATACATACCTTTTTCATCTCTGTGCGTGCTGTAACTCTGTTTGATGCACCCTCCGCTAGCCTAGCTTAGCACAGAGACTGGATGTAAATGGCTACAGCTATCATAATCCCAATAAGGGACAAACTAACTTAAACATTTTCCTATTTACATGTTGTGATTTGTATAGTCACAAGGTGTACAAATAACAAGGTAATATGAGACACATATATTTTAACCGTATAAATATTGGGAACTATATTCTCAGGAGGCGTCTGCTGAGGTTATAACCCAAAGCAGTGCTGCCTTGTGAGAATATAGTTCCCAATATTTATATGGTTAAAATATGGCTGTGTCTCATATGACCTTGTGATTTGTACACTCTGTGACTATACAAATCACAACATGTAAAAAAGGGAAAATGTTTGCATTATTTTGTCACTTATTGGGATTAGTATGCAAGCTGTAGCCATTTATATCCTGTCTTTGTCCTAAGCTAGGCTAACGGTGGGTGCGTCAAACAGAGTTACAGCAAACACAGAGATGAAAAAGGTATGTATGGACTTATCTAACTCTAGGGGATACAGTGAATAAGCTAAAGTCTAAAAAAGGCGGAGTGTTCCTTTATGTCATTTGATTACATAACCCTTATACGTACACTTATTTGATCAATTAAAAGTCATTAGAAGCATAACGAATGACAGGAGTGTGCTCTGTCGCTGCATCAAAATGTTAGCATAGCTAATGAAACATTACCCTTGAAATAAAAGAACGTTTATTTTTACAGCTAACATGTAACCTATTGAACGTGAATGCTAATTTTGATTTAACCATCTCATCTATAGCTTAGCTATCCTCACAGAGATACAAATAATATACCATTTTTTTTTTGCTTCATAGACTCAACTGCATAATGCTCCAACTTATGC